AAAAAAAAAAAAAAAAAAAAAAAAAAAAAACAGACCTAAAGCCTACGAGAATGAGGAAGCAGTGTCCATTTTCTCTTGTTTGTGTTCGCGCGCGTGTACACTTCCGCTTTCTCTCGTCCTCCTGCGTCCCGTAGCGACGGATGAATAGCGAATTCGTTGTTGCGCGGCAAAATCGACGTTGCGAATCGTGGCGGCATCCGCGAGAGATGCGTCGAATCCTCGGGCCTCGGTTACTCGCGGTTAAAGTCGAATGATGTAACCGCTGTACGACGGTGCCGACGGTGCCGATCAATCTGCAGATTGTAAACGGGCTATAATCTTAGCCTCTCGAGCTGAGGTTTCCCTATTTTTTTCCCCTCTCCGGCCCGTTCGATCATTTTCTCTCGAGGGTACTTCGTAATCTCTGCTCTGACCCCTTCCATGGTGAATTCAAAATACAATTCGCGCTGCGCGCCGCGATATGCGGATGAATGTTCGCTCACGCGGATCACGCGGCGAGCTGTGCGTTCGCGGTGACGAAAGCCCGGATTTATCGGTGCGGGCTGGCGCGACTCTTCCGGTTACCACGAGGTTCGGCCGCGTTACGAGCGCGGGTCTGTGGCGCATCTGCGTGCGAACTATTTTTACGTAATGGCAATTCTCCCATCGATCCTGCGTGACATTACATAATTAATATCGTTAAGCCGAGGCGGAGTCCTCTCTCGCGGCGTGAGACGATACCGTTAAAAGGATACGGGACAAACGCGCGTGGAATTCGCCTATTCACACCTTCGGCGCCGATCTGCAAATTCCTCGGCGCGATAAATCTCTGAGAGTCGTTCTCGAAACTAATCGGAGATGACAGGCCCGTCGAATTGCGCCGTGTGGCCGGGAAAACGGACAGATCGGGAATCTTTTCAGGAATATTATAGTTATTTTTCATATAAATTTATTTTTTTCAATATTTTTTGTGTTCGCAATGGTGCTGGGTAAGATTTACTCATTTAAGGTTTACGTAACTTTTCAACGTTTATTCTACTGAAATGAAAAAAAATTTAGATTAGCACCCACCGAAAAAGTATTGTCTTATTTTCTAGATATTTCTCTCTCTCTCTCTCTCTCTCTCTCTCTCTCTCTCTCTCTTTCACATGCACATATACAAGGACCGCGGGAGGACGGTCGAATGCATACAGTACAGCGAAACGACATCGAGGTCGACGGTGACGGTGCGTTGCGTTTAATTGAATTGGAAAGCAGAATGACACAATCCGAACGCGACGCGCACGGTGTGAATCGCGCGTGCATGTTTCTCGTCCATATTTGCCGCGCGATGTCAGAATCGTAGACTTGTAGAATAGACTGCGTGCATTCATACGGAGCGGCTGAATTCAAGATCGAGGAGGTCAGAGATGTGCTGAATTCGATACTTTCTCTGTCACACGGTACCACAGTAAGGGGTGATGTAGGGGAAACAAAAGAAAGAGTGAAATCCCACAGGATGCAATCCATTAGACGCTGCAAATGTTTCGAAGCGCATCGACCAATCCCAAATAGAACAGCCTATTGGTTAACGTTTTTGAAATTAACTTTTGGAACGTATCTATAAGATACAAGTCAATGTCAATAATTCATCTCCATTAATATGACATCGATTAAATAACAGTTTACAGTTGGTTAATAGCTAGTTCATTTACGCATTTTACAGTTATCATTTGGTATATATTTAATTTATATCCATGTACCAACTTGATATTTTTATATCTGAATGATATCTTTTTGGATATTAAAAGTTATCTTTCGGACGGACATTAGATAACCTTTTCAGTAAACAGAAACTTAACTTTTTTACCGAAAATAAAGTTATCCTGACCTAATTTTATATAGTAAAATGGAATACTTTAAGATAACGTTGTTCTACTTGGGATCATAGTTTTTCTATAAGTATTACTTCAAAGCGTTTGCAGCGCTAATAGCAGTGTTGTGAGAAAAGGGAGGACGTGTTGACGATATGATCGCTTCTCCTCCTCCTTCGTTTCTTTCTCTACGCCAACCAAACAGATAGACAAGGAAAGCATCTCACTCTCAATTGCTCTCTGGATTCATCCCTCTCACGGTAACGCGCCGTCTGTTCTATGCGTCAGAATCGATCAATGATTCTCGCGTGTGGCAATAGGTCTATTCGTTCTCAAAGAACTTCGAAACTAGCGCAGTAAGTTGGTGAAACAAATATACTTTCTTGTCCTCTAACTTATTGCACTATTGTGTACTGATTCGGAATTTCTTCCAAAAAGGAATGCATTTTTGCGAACACCTGCGCGTTCGAGCCATTTTCGAACGCGTTGACCGCAAAAATCGCGCGCGGCTTCTCGAATTTCGTCACGCGAAGTTTAGCAAAAACTGTCTGCAATTCATATGTTATGTTAATTCCCGCGGCCAGGCTCTGGGAATGCCGTCTCATTGAGATTTGATCGAAATTAATTGCCGTCGTCGCGCATCAGCAATGCGATGTATCTCGCGGGAACGCTACGTCGCACTTTTTTCACCTTTCTCTCTCTCTCTCTCTCTCTCTCTCTCTCTCTCTCTCTCTCTCGCGTTTCGCCGTGATCTTATTTGACGATCGCGCATCTGTAAGGCTGGGATCCGGTCGACGGAGATGGCGCGAGATAAATATTGACGCAAACACACCGCGCGTGCGTTTAAAATGTCAGCGCTCGCATTTTTGCGAGGAGTCTTGGCGGAAAATCCGTTTCGCCGTTTTGCCACGATCGAATACACTTTGTCGATCGCGTTATCGATCGATCGATCGACTTGCCTGGAAATGCAACACGATTTGTTTGCTGCCGGTCGGTCATTCGCACGGGACGGAAGGGACGAATGTGAAAGTGAAATTGGGAAATGGTGTGCAAATTTTGCTCGTGCGCTATGCGCGCGAATTGAATAAATAACAACGGGCGTTATGTGTATACCGCGCTGTTACGAATTACGTATCAGCGGCAGCCTTCCCGGCGATACGATCGCGCACCAGCCACGCACAATCGATGTCGCTCTTAATCGACACCGCGCTCACGCACTCACGCACTCGGTCGTCCCCGATGTGACACTCGTTCGCGCTCGCGGGGGGCAAGTTACCTTTTCAGGCCAGACAAGCAACAATATACTCATTTAAGGTGAAGCCATCGAATAAATGTGCTTGACTTTTCTATGTGTAACATATTTGGATTTAAAGATTCATTCCTATTCTTTGAGCTGAGAGAAATGACGTCATAGTGTCCATTAACGATCTTAGTCTCCCTGATCTGCATGATTTATTTATACAATCCTCTAATTCATTATTGCAAAGTTGCCTAATATGGGGAGGTTTTTTGTAAAAGTATATAACGTTTTCCATAATAGTATATGTGATTTGGTGAAGTATGTACAATATTTTATGAATATATATCCGCAAAATTATCCTCTTAAACACATTCTGTGTAGAATAGTTTCGAAGGCAATTCATAGATTACACTGCATCGTGGTGATCAGAACTGCAATTCTCCATATCAGGAAACCATTCCACATTCGGTAACTTTACTTTCAATGTGGAAAAACACTTGTAATTGCGCGCGACCGATAGGATTTTAAAAACCTTTGCAGAGAGAAGGCCGTATTTCGTCGAAAAAATTCTCAAATATGGCATCCCCTCAATCACGGCAACACACAATGTATATTTACACGTACCGTGTTTTATACCCGCTTCTGCCCTGCTCGAAATATCGTAAAGTTTGACATCGATAAGATGGCATGTGATGACCTGAGTATATCGATCTTTTCTTGACTTGTTAGTCTTAGAGCGATTTGATCCCTCCTTGACGAAAAGAGATCGAGGCGAAATTGTCGTCTCGACAACGACTCCCCTCTCTCTCTCTCTCTCTCTCTCTCTCTTTGATTGTCAAAATTATGCGCGACTTATCAACAGCGCGCGATTCGTCGACGCGCGATATATTTTATTGGCCGAATCGGTAATTTGGCGCGCGCGCGATTACATAAAAGTCATTCGGCTGTCGTAAAAATGTCATGAAACCGTCGCGGAAACGATCTCCCCGGAGACTCGGCGGGCACGATATCACGAATAAAGATAACTCATTCGCACCGGAGGGGGTGCGATATTCAAATAAATGTTCATTCGGCTTCGCCGTCATTTCATTCGCGGTATGTATTATTCATCACTTCGTATTGTCCGTCGCTGTTTGTTATTTGTCGCGCGGGATTATTTATTATTCGCATTAATTTTCATTCGCATTAGTTGCCGCAATTTCGGCATCGCTGGCAAATTGACCGTTCGCGCGAGTCTTGTCTGTCCTCGGGTCTGTGCGGACAAGATTTCGCGCGCTTCTAATATTTCTCTCTTCGCGAAAATAAGTTTTTCGATGCCGGCAAAAAATTATTCTACATTCGCAAATAAAACGCCGTATTCGTCGCTCGTTATTCGCCAGTATTCGCGAGCTCAGGCCCAGCTCTCGTCCTCAGGCCGTTGAGCCCGCGTTGGGGAATGCAATCTACAAGAGCACGACGAGGCAGAAGAACCGGCCGAGCCAAGGTCGAGCCCTTTTTCAGACGGACCTTCTCGGTGCTTCTACCTTGAAACGAAATCGGATTACCTAACGTGACGAGTATAACGAGTCCGATCCTTAATCCACGCGCTACGGAACCGTTCCGCTGCGCTTTCTCGCTGCGGCTCATCCGCGTTCCCGGCACAATGCGCATTTTCACGCATAAATCGAACACTTTGAATTAAAAATTACTGCTTTAAAAATTCACTCGAGATCGAGCGTGAATCACGACACGGACATTTGTGTCTCTTCTCGCGAGATTTTGAAGGATTTATAAAGAATTCGAATTTGTCAGAGCCGCCTCATTTTCAATTGTTAATTATCCGGATATTATTGAAGCCTTGACATTTCCGTCGACGAAAAGTCGCTCCCAAATCGGTCGAGAATTTGTAGCGAAAAAGGAATTCGATGCTTTCGACTTATGCACGCGCGCATGTAGGGGCTAGTTAGCTACCGGGATAAGTTGGCAAAACCGATTATTTCTACTGTTCTTTAACAGATTTTAGAATCAAGCAAGCAGGGATATCAAAGCCATTTTTTACATGTTCGACAATTCTGCTTGCTTAATTCTATGACTTGTTAGAAAATAGCAAAAATAATCGGTTTTACCAAATTATCTCGGTAACCAACTAGCTCCGCTCTTCCCTACATTGAGGGGAAAAATTACCTTAAAATCAATAAATATTTCTTTGATGGGTGCCATTAACATATTTACTTAAATCTAAATTCTCTTTATTTAAATCAAATATTGTTTACCTGATTTAAGTAAATAATACTTGGTTTAAATAAAAAGAATTTAGATTTAAATCAATACGTTAATGGCACTCATCAAAGAAATATTTGTTGATTTTAAGGTAATTTTTTCCTCAGTGTATGCGTGCGTTAGTACGTGCATGCGACGTTTAAGAAAGTAATAAATACCAGAATGTATAACGGATAACATATTTAACGAGAGAATCTGCGCCGCGTCTCCTTTCGATACATCTCACTCCACATTATGACAGAAAAGCCGCGGACTTTCCCCGGACGTTTATTTTGCGCGCGCGCGCACGAGGAATTTCGGCTCCGCGGCGCCGAATAAAATTAAGGAGCCTCTTTTTTGCGCTTTCTGCATACTTGTGTCGCGCCGGCGATTTCCTAGAGCGTGTAAATACGTTCCGGATCCATGGACTCTGCTCCTCCTCGTACTGACGTTACAAGAAACCCGGATGGTAGCGGGCGGCCGATAGTGGGGACGACACACCGACGCGCTTCGCGCTCGTCATCGACGTGCAAGCGAACATAAAACGAAGCGGCAAACGAGATCGAGGCTCAGTGCTTACTAGGCGATCGATCGATCGCCACGGACCCGCGCGAGAACAAACGACGAACTTGGCCGGTTGGTGTTCTGATGACAACAACAGCCACAGCTGTTGCTGCACGCGTGTGAAGCGACAACACCCCCGCGCCGACGTGAAGCGAGTGAAGTCGCGTGAAAAGCGCACGGGAAAGCAATCAGCAGCAGAAGAAGAAGAAGGGAGACACAAGAGTTCACGATGACTAGCGGAACTTTGATTCTTATGAGGGTCACCACCTGTATTCTGCTGGGCTGCATGACGATGCGAGTCACCGGCTCGGCAATACCGATGTGGGAATTTCTCTCCAGAGATGAGAAAGTGAGTACAATCGACGGCCACGAGTCGTCTCCGATCGTTTTGCGTGAAACTGTGCGAGCGATATGTAGACCAACGCCAGAAGATTCGTCTTCTTTCGGAATTCAAATTTTTGTCTTTAGTGAAATCACCGGTTCGAGAGAGAGAGAGAGAGAGAGAGAGAGAGAGAGAGAGAGAGAGAGAGAGAGAGAGAG